CTGGTCATGAGCCCCAGTCGGAGCTCGACACCAAGACAGACAGACTGACAGACCATCAGTTGCAATGTGACTTGATCTTGGAAGTTTACAGTTACAGTTCTAGATTTCTACAGTTCTACAATACTAGTCCAGTGTTCAAGGAGTTCACTATTGTTATTATTATTCTTCAATTCTTCCAATTCAAGTTCGTCCGTGTATACTGTGCAACTGTAATAACTATTATAGAATAGTTCAACAGGTGGTTGTCTCTTCATATAATGACATCCCACAGTAGTTACAGACAGTCACAAATTAAAAGTGACTGGTTTTCTACCATTAAATTCCACTACATTACATGGGACTAACTGTTACTTTCAATTTCAGTTCCAAGTACATTAAACCTTTGTCCAATGAAAGGGTCAGGTTCCTTGGGAACAGTGAGAATAAAGTGGTCTCTGTGCTCAATTGAGCACTATGCCATGAAGACATGAGGTGCATTAGCTAAATTTGTGCTGGACAAACTCAACACCTTATGGATTAAATGGGAACACATGAATGTGACTGCAGAAAGTCTCCCACTTGCACCCATGTATGTAATAGATACTATTTACACTGCTTTAAGTTATGAAAAGCACAGGAGTTTTAGGTTTCTGAATCTTGTGTTATTATATGATTATCAGTAAAACCCATGTTTCACTTTCTTTGTGACTATTAACAGAACTATCTTTCTTGGTATCAAAACTTTTATTATTAAAATTACTTCCAAAATGTGTTTCAACCAGTACTGGTAATCTTCAGGTAGTTATTACACCAGAAAGTATTTTTTTCTTATTTTCTTGGGGTGGGGTGATGAGTTCACTTTGCATGTTGGCCACTCTTTGGCCTATTCTAGCAGCCCTGGATGATAGATGATGATGATGAGTTTGGAAGAGTCGGTGGAAAGAGAATTGGCAGGGGAACTGTAGTACTCAGAGAAAACCCACCCAAGTGCCACTTTGTCCACTACAAATCCTACATGAACTGAACTGGGTTCCAACCCTGGCTGCCACAGTGGGAAGCCAGGGACTAACCATCTAAGCTATAGCATGGTCTTGTCAGAAACTAACTTCTGAATTGTACTGCATTTCATTGTCGTCTTGAGAAGAGCCTATAGCCCGAATTGCATGCCTGTAGATATTTTGAGTGTAATAAATATTAAAATGTCTTGACAACTCCTTGCTCCATAAGTTGCAGACTAAACACACACACACAAAAACACTACCTTCACATCACGATGATTAAATTTCCATGCTTCATGGTCACAGCGGGGGGGGGGAGTAAACTTGGTGTATTCAGATTATCCACACTCAGCAAATACTTGTTTATATTTTATTCTATGTGTATATGCAAAACAATACTACACAAGGGTTTATTGTAATAAACAATTCATCACCATACTGATGTTACAGAGCTTTTGCAATGAATATAGTATCACTAAATAAATTAGTCATTTCATCACATAATATTGCTGCTCCATTCCCTCCTGAAGATGGAGGTAGTAAACTAATTTGAAACATTGGTACCTATCTACCAAGTGTACAGCTTCAAATTTCAGCAGAGAGTAATCTTCTGTACATTAACTTCCTCAAATTACTGACTACTACAGAGTTTGCAAAGACAAGAAAAAGAATGGACCATATATTTATCATTTTATTGCTGTTGAAGTGGGTGACATCTGACTTGCCTTTATACAGAATCCTATTCAGGTGATGCCAATACAGTAAATTCTTTCCTTCAGGGAAATTAAAAGCAGAGATATCTGTGCTTACTAGGCTCACCAAAAACTTCAACTGCAGAAAATTCAATATAATTACCCTACCTAAAATACCCACCAAATTGTTATAAAAATATAAAACTCTAAAAAAATACGGAAATAAATAACTGCTTTCACTCTGGCAGCATAATTACAAGCATTTGTCAGTAATGAAATCAATTCTGTCAAAACACCACGAAACAGGGGTGGGGCACTTACAATAAATGTAAAAATAATGGATAAATAATTTTGTATTTGTGAACTCCAAACAAAGAAAGTTATAGCAAAACAATTCTGACCAACATACTTTAAAAGCTGTTATAAGTTCTGCTTGTTTTGGTGAAATCAGACACATGTAACATTGTCATACTTGCCTGTGTTACTATCTTGCCAATAATTCTTATATCTTGAGCAGCAACACAACGCTATGTTAACCAGAAACAGAAATGCACCCAGAACGGTACAAATTGTTATAGTTACATAAAATGCTGTGAAGTCTCCATAAATTTTCTCATGCAATCGTGGGTTGTGAGTTGTAGTAGTAAAAAACGGATATGTAGTTGTTGTGGATGTTGACGTATAATTCCATGGGCTGTCATACAAGGACATTGTCGTAATTTGTACTCATAATCTGGAATAAGAATGGCCCAACATACATCAAACATCAAGTAAATTATGTGATATGAAAAATGGGTGTGTTTGCATACGTGTTAAAAGGAACCAATTTCAAGAACAGCAGAAATTATCGGTGAACGAAACTCTTACTTACAGGTACGTGGAGTTCACAATTATGTCTAAACAGAATTAAAGTTTTCAACATTTAACACACAATAATCCACCTCCGAGTACAACGCCCTTTCTTAGCTTCGCAGATTGGATCTGCTGCTGTGGTATAAATATAGACGGATCACCAAGGTTCATACTTGAGGAGCTATCACGGATCATGCAGTACAACGCTAGGGAAAGTCGCAGGGGTCTCAGGCTGACAATGAGGGCATCAGGAATTTCCCAACCGTCTGCCGCGGTCTGCCGTTACACATTTTGAGACACGGAGGTAAATAACACGACGCGGAAGGTTTTTGTGCTTTTACGTAATTTAAAGGGCTGCAAGTAAATATCATTAATGCATGTTATGCGCAGAGTATTGACCAATTTAAGAACGTGCAACAAAAATGACTGAATTGCAACGGGAATATGAATTTTCATAGAACTTCTTTAAAGCAAAACCTAAAATCGAAAGTATTAAATACACGGCACTATAATTAACTCAGTGGAAACGGATTCAGCTTCCAAAGAAGTGAAATTACAACATGAATTAATTATACTGTATTTATTTTGAAGAGTATTGTCTTCTGGGATATTCCACCGTGTAGGTGGTCGTAAGTCAATCGACGTTTCGGAGGAACATGTGGCCTTCATCATCAGGGGCAAAGAATAAGTACAGCAAGAAACCAACGTGAAGCAAGTGCCAAGCAAGCTCTTTTTGCTACTTGCTACACGGCAAATGTAAGCGAATGATGTGATGAAAATGCATTGACGTTTGCGAGTTAAGACCTTCATTGAGAGTATACAAGAGGCGATGGATAGATGGTTACATGTTACAGGAATATTTTTTTGACTTGACAAAGGCATGTGATGTGATAGACCACAATATATTACTAGATAAATTAAATTACTATGGGATCAGAGGGGTTACTAATTTATGGTTTAAATCTTACTTGTCTCACCGAGGACAATTTGTTCAAATAAATCACCTGAATAAAAATATCATCCAAAATACATATATGTCACCCTTGAGAGGAACAATATATGGGGTACCACAAGGGTCAATTCTGGGACCATTACTGTTTCTTCTGTATATAAATGATCTCCACTAAATGTACAAGGTGTGGAAATGGTATTGTTTGCAGACGATATTAATGTACTTGTTATTGATAAAGATAAAGATGCAGCTCAACAGAAAATAAATAAGATCATGAAACAGCTTGAAACATGGTTTCAGGAAAATAACCTTTTCCATCTTAGTAAGAGTAGGTTTATAGTTAGACCGCAGATACTCTATAGTAACTTTGAAATTGCTTACTCATTGGAACTGAGATTTTATGTATAGATATTATAGAAAACCTTAAATGGAATACTCACATCTAGTCATTATGTTCAAAACTTAGTAAAACACCATACTTATAAAGAAATAGAAAAGGTAATAGGGTCCCTCAAAGCAAGCCAAGCTCAAGGATATGACGAAATTTCAAACAATATACTGAAAGCTTGTAAAACCTTTATTAGTGTTCCTTTAAGTTACTTATGTAACAGGATATTGTTTGAAGGAGTATTTCCTGATAGATTAAAATATGCTACAGTGTTGCCAGTATATAAAAGAGGTGATAAAAATAGGGTATCTAACTACAGACCTATTTCCATCTTGACATCTATAAGTAAAATATTTGAGAAGGTAATGTATAGTAGATTATTAAAACATTTAAATGACAACAGCATATTAAGTAACCATCAGTTTGGATTTAGAGAAAAACGGGGGACTGAAAATGCTATTTTTAGACTTATTTCTGGAATATTAAATTCACTAAATAATAAAATGCTAGTCAGTGGGATATTTTGTGACCTGGAAAAGGCTTTTGACTGTGTTAGTCATACAGTATTACTTAATAAATTAAAGTATTATGGAATAAAGGATAAACAATACAACCTATACAAATCATACCTACAGGATAGATTTCAGAGAACTACCATTTATAATGGAACTAACAATAAAAAAGTATATTCAGGATGGGCTAAAGTAACTAATGGTGTTCCACAGGGGTCAATACTGGGACCTCTTCTGTTTATAATATATATAAATGATTTGCCCAAGATATTGGAGGCAAAAAGTACACCTATTTTATTTGCAGATGATGCCAGTGTGTTAATCTCACATGCAAATCCAATTATGTTTAGAAATACAATAAACGAAGTATA